TCCATTCAAAATTAGCCTTAGATCTCTAAAGAGAGCTTGTTAAGGAGCATTTAAATAGAATACTTGCTTTGGAACAAATATAAAATCTCAAAAAATGAGCAAGATATGGTCCTTGGAAGTCAACAAACCCTAGCTCAAAGAGTGTCAAAATAACTTGAAACCCCTTTCAACTGTTGATGATTTTTCTTGCACAATTGGATCTTTTCATGTGAAGATAGGTTGTTTTAGATGATGATAAGAATCCATAGCAAAAATAACCAACTCAAAATGTTAAAAATTTATAGAGTTATGCACTAGTGATCACTGAATCTAGTATTTGCTCAATTAGGTCATACTTGTTGAATCAACCTTGAATCATTTTGGACTTTTTTTGGAAAAATAAGCATGATGAATCATAAGAGGCCTTGAAATTATGTTTTCTTGAAGCACACTCAAATATGGAGCTTAAGTCTCAATGAAGCTTGTTGAAGAAGGCGTGGAAATAAACACATGAACCTATGAATCTTCTTGATGAATTCCAACACCAACTTTGGGGAGATCTTGACCTAAATAAAGTGAGAGAGCTTCTTGAACCACAAATATTTGATGCCATGGACATGACCTTGAATATTGAGCTTTTTAAATCCATTATAAAACCATTTGATTGAGAATCACCCCTCAAACCCTAGATTAGATGGTGAGATAAATGCAGTTTTGATCACCTACAATATGAACATTCAAAGGAACATATATACACATATTGATGTTAGTTAAAAGAACACATGTACAAGATACACAATTTAAGGTGCTTGGTAATCCTCAAGAGCAAACTTAAAGATAGGATAGAGAGAGAAACAACCATAATATATGTGTCTTGATGCTTTGTGATATGAGATGATGAGAAATCTTAGAGGGAAAAATTGGGGTATAACATCATCTCACGGGACAACACTTTCAATGTAAACCAACTATTTGAAGAAAATTTTAACCATTTTTAGATAAATTTCGCCCTGAGACAAGTCATCCTCCTTGTAGAGTATTATCCATTCCTCATTAAAAAGTGGCCTTGGCTCTTGAACTAACAAAATAAACCCTACATTGGTATTCTGGTTTAGTCTTTATGGCACAAATCTTCGCATGAGCCTCTTTGTTGAGAGGAGTAACTAAGAAGAAATGATCTTTGAAATGTTTCACGTCATCGAAACATGCTTCAAAATAACGGGTAACATGTGTCAATGGGTTTAAGCCTTGGCCTTGCACATGATTCACTATGATATGTTACTTTGAAAAGATGAAAAAAAAGTGACAAATATAACTTCCCTCCTTGGTAGTCACACCGGTATTGAAATACTTTCATGAAAGTCCAACTCACATAATTCGACTGTGAAGAAGCAATCATCAAGTGATTTAAAATCTCAACCTCGTAACTGTTGAAAGGAAATCAGAGATCCAAAATCAAAATATGTACACTTGTAGAAAGGGATGATGCAACCACTATATACATTGCATATCATTTTGTCTTCATCTAGAATCAGTACACCCCAGCTAGAGAATGGACCCACTTCAAGAAAAGCCTCTTTGGAGTTATCTTCGCGAGCAAAAATAAAAACAGTCGCCAAAATATTAAGTTCTTCTCAAGATTCTGAAGTATCTTCATTCGCTTTTTGACGCGTGCTAGCTACCACTTACATTAGTCAAGGGGATAATATGTTGCAAAGAATGCATGTGACGAAAGAACAAAGATATTGATCAAAGAAGCCTCGTAACTATTCCTAAAGATCATGTGATACCTTACGTAAATGATGTAAGTAAGCACTATCAACGATTAAGATTTTCTCATAATTTTTTTCAAATACTCCTCAATGGTCATCAAGATTAAGCAAGTTAAAAGACATTGAAAGTATGAGGTGCATTTAATAACGATGGCGTCATACTGTAACACCCCAAAATAAAGATTATTTATTTAATTATTTAATTAATTATGATGAGTATTTGTGATGTATTGGTGAGTATCTATGATATTTTGATGATTATAATATGTAATGTGATGCTACGTGTAGTATAATAGAAATTAAGAGATATTGTGTGTTTTAATAATTTTAGATAATTAATTTTCATTATTTAGAATTGTTATTAATAAAATAAATAGAATATAAGGTGTGGAAGTGCCAAGGGCAAAGTGGTAATTGGTGAAGTGATAAGTGAGGGTAATATAGAAATCCATAGAAAGGGTCCAAGGGATAAGTTTTACATAAGGGAAATTTGGAGTTTAGAATGCTCATTATGTACGATCGTGTTTGGAGAAGAGGCAGAGAGCAGAACTAGGGCATAGGGGAACTCAGAGGAATTATTTATACACACAAAGAGGAGATCATTTCTAGGTATAATCTAATGTAAGGGGGGTTGTCCTTGTTATTATGATTGATATAGGATTTAGATGTATGTAGGTTGTTTGGGGTTTTTGTGATGAACTGATACTGTGATGAGTATGATGAATCTTTGATGAAATTGTGAATAATGGATGTAGTAATGTCATGATTTGATGTATGTAATGTGTACTAAGAAGTGTTGTTATTGTATGCTGAGAATATATGATTTGTATGAGTTTTGGGTCTGTTTGGATGTGGAATCGTGTGGAAATTGGAACTGGTGCTATGCAAAAAATGCACAGGGAATTTCTTGTTCGTATTGCATCGTCGCGCGAGCCTGGTGCTTAGTTGGGCGAGGGAGCTTAGCCCAAGCAGCACCAGACGAGCAAGAGGCAAAGGGAAGGGGTGAAAAACAAATCCCCAGGAATTTGTATGGAGGTGGGTGACTCGCCCCAGCTTCGTCGGGAGAAGGGGAGGCAAAAGAGATCTCGCTAGGCGAGAGAATAGCTTCGTCGGACGAAGGAAGTAAAAGAAAAACAAGCTCCTAAAATTTTGTGTGGGGAATGGCTTTTCACCCCAGCCTCGTCGGGTGAGCCTCGGGCGAGAGACAGATAGAAAAATCTTCAAAGTGTCGTCACTTGAGTTACCGGATTTTGTTTGACACGTCGTTCGAAGCGTTGGATAGCTAACGCGATGCAATATAATTAGGTGGAATAAAATGAGTAAAAAGGTGTATAATTGTAGTACTTATGTTATGATAAAATTAAACTTCTATGTGATGGGTTACAATGACGTGTGTTGTGTGATGAGTTGTTGATCCTATGATGATACTATGTTGTTTCTGTGATGTTATGATGATGCCATGCGTATATATGATGTATGTGATGATATTATGATGATTAAATGAATGAATTATGCGTTCGAATAGCAGTTGTCATATTTTATTATGTTGTTAGTATCATTGCATTCATGGCATATATTAGAATTTTGGTCTAGTGATGTTGTTAGGACGGTCGGTCCAATGATGGTGACAAGATGTTGGTCCAGAGATGACTTCAATTCCATGGTGTGGATTGAGTGTAATATTATGATGTGCTCTGGTTCCAAACGGGAATCGATCCTATTGGTGGAGATTTTTAGAGAAACGATGACTGAGTCATCAGTGAAGTTCTAGTACCACATGCATGAGTCAATGATGTTGTATTACATTATATGTGATATTGCATAATGAATGATTAAGCGTTGCCGATGACGTTGTGATTTTGTTTTGCTTGATGATTGTTGTTAATGTGATGATACCATGATATAGTTTATCCATATTGATGATCTATACGTGTGAGTACACTCCATGAAATATGATGTTATGTGGAATCTATGATGACTTGTTGTTGTACTGTTATATCTATTCTATATTTCTTTTATAATAATTTGTGATTACTTACTCTTTCTGCTTGGAAATGTTGCCTCTATACGTGTGTAACTTGCAGGTGATCAAGAAGTTCGTCGAAGCTTAAAGGATAGCTTTAGAGTGCGTTGTTTATTTCCGTTGATATTAGAAGGTCTTCTTCTGATATGTAACATCGGGGTTGGGAACGTTTGTTTTGTAACAATGGCCCCGGAAAAAAAATGGCCAGCGAATCTTAACCCAAGAATCTATCAGACGGATCTCCGCGTCTCACGGCAATTAATTAGCAAACTATTATAACCATATAAAGGGAGAACATGTCATTTTCCGAGTAATTCAAATTCGAATCTCATTTCACTTTATCTTACTCTCATACTGAGTTGGACATTGACGTGTTAATCTTGCAGATTAGCCTCTCCACCAATGTGTCAGAAGCTCGAGTCTACTGTTAGAATCCGCATTTATTATTCACTAGCTAACTATGGTTCCCGCGCAAAATACTTTCTCTATGAATGCATAAATACCTTTACTTGTACCATATCTATTTTGCGTATTTTTATTCTACATGTTTGTGGATTTTTTTATGGACATCTACTTGATATGTGTACAATTGTCATCCCTAATCATAATATTATTTAATTGATAATTAAAATTAAAATTTAATTTATTTCTATGTTTAGTTATTGATTCATATTTTTAAACAAGAAAATGGTAAAAATAAGTAGTTTTAAACAAATTATAAGTTGGTAAAAAATATAAGCTACAAAATTCTTATATACATTTGCAAAATCAATTTATTTGACTAATTTTGTTTTCTTTTTTGAGTGACTTTTTTAAATGATTATGTGGGTTAAATAAAATATTTACAGATAATAAACAGGGTAGAGTGAAATTCTGAAAGTAATCTCTTTGAAAAAAATTGTACTTTCATCCTAAATAAAGGGATGTAATCTATTTCTGATGCAATCTATTTTTGTACTAACTTCAATTAGGGGATTTTAATAGCCCTACACAATGCCACATTTCACTTGAGTAATCCAAATATATTTATTCTAATGGTATAAAGACTAAATAATAGTTTCGTACGCAATTAATAAATGTCCAGAGAATGTCCAGAGAGATCATCTGATTAGAGTTCTGTTAAGTCAACTCAATTAGTAATTATTCATAGACATCTTACAATTCTGTTATGTCAACTCAGTTTCAAATACATGTGATTACAAAGTGTATGTGTCTAGGTGCAAGTGTCAATCCTTAGATTTGAAACACTTAAACAACCTATTCCAACCAGATGTTACAGGTGGTTGTTGCTCAAGAGGATCCTTAAACTTTGCTTTCTCGCCTAACTCTTCAAAAGCATCCACAAGGTTCTGTAACCTAGCCACAAATTCAATCAAAAGTGATGTGAATGTTGCCAAAGTTAGTGCACTAGCACTTTCATATGTTTTTGATTCTTCCTGTTTTGTCATTGCATCTCCTTGAAATGAAATATGTGCAGGCCAAGATGTTTGTTTCCTCAACATTTTTTCGGTAACAACATTAGCAGGCTTAATGCCGTTGTCGCATGCAATATTTTCTTCCCAACTTTTTGGAACTCTAACCGAACTTAAATCCAGCACAGCTTCACTTAGTGACTTGTACTCCAAGAAATGACTTTCTTCGTCCATTTGTAAGAGGTCTTGAGAATCGCTTTCGTTTCTTGGTCTGTTACCGATTTCCCAAAGTTCTGAATTTACAAGAAGGAACGATTTTTTGTCGATCTTTTGTTGTAATTCTTCCGCTGCTTCGTGTACTTCAAAAAGAATGTCTTCTTGGCCTAGTTTCTCCATCTTTTTAACTCTGTTGCCAAGTTCGCGTAGAACTTTAGCTGCTTCAGAACCTACTTTCTTCAGCTCATTGCGGAAAACTTGTCTCTTATCCGCTGGAGCCTATTTCACAAAAGAGAGGTTTAGTAAACGTGTCTTTGCATATATTGAAGAATAGAAAATATACATATTTAGTTTGAGAAATTTGAATACTAATGAAGTGATGCAGAGGAATATTTGTCAAATAGTGGATGTATCAGAAGTACCTATGAAGCAAAGACATTGACACGGACACCAGATACTAACACGTCGACATTGATAATACTTTGAAAAAATGAATAAATTCGTAATCACAAATGTAGATGTCATGTCAGTTTCTAACACACACGGACACACCTTTTTACAGAGGTGTCCGTGCTGCACATAACCTTGCAAAAATTTAAAATCGCCATTGCTTTGTGATACGTGATTCAATACCAAATGTTATAAGATAGTGGCTACAACAGCTCCATAGCATTGAAGTGTAGCGAAATTTGACCTAACCACTATTGTGATTTGTGATTGATAACATTGTGAAGAGAGTCTCACCTAGCAGTATTAGTTACTTATTATGATTAAGAAACCAATTGAAGCAGAAATTAAATCAATTGAAGTATAGGACCTTAATTGTGCAAACCAAATATTCTCTGCGTAAATATTCAAAGACTAGTTAGTCCCTTGAATCGGATAAGACTACAAAGACGGCAAAACTTTCCCTCAAGAGTTTTAACACCGTTGTATTTCTAGTGCAGGATTCCAAAAATAGGACCTCTAATAATTAATCCGGAAGAGACTTGAACCATTTTGCAAATTACTGTCCAAACTGGTCAACTATATTCATATGGTTACCCCTCAAAATCAACCCTTCTCTATATATTAAACTAACTTGAAACACTCAATAGAACTAGAATGTTCACACGAACCACTTTCCTAAAACATTAAAGAGAGAAAAGAAATCCCAATACGAAATTTGAAGTAAGGACGGAAAGGATAATATCTAACAGAAAAAGTTGCTACATAAGTACCTGTATTTCAGAAAGTATACATCCATGCATAGCCATGACCATGAAAGCACAATGCCTAAGCGCTCCACTTACTTTAACATAATTCTTCCATGGATATCGAAACATTTTGTACCGACCGTGAGGTGGCTCCCAGATAGCAAAACTCATCTTCAATCAATTATGCAAACGCGGCAATGAGTCAGAAAGACGATCATTTTGTTCTTCATAAAACTTAAGTAGATAGAGAAATACCAATGAATCCTCTTTGCTTGTAGATTCAACAGCTGATCTATATCCACTGTAAACTACATCATCGGAAGCTTGATATGTAAGAATTTTCGACGGCACCCTCTCGTATTCAATACAGTTAAGGTAGTTATTTACAACACCTGAAAAGAAACTTAAACAAAGCTATTTAATACAAGAAATAAGGTTGTGAAGCAGCAACACTAAATGCTAGTAGTTTTTGTTGTTACAAATTAAGCCTTGTTTGGATAAATAGGTTACTTGAGCACTTATTATATAAATGCTTATGTATAAACTATATGCATAACAAAAGATAAAATCAAATCAAATTGTTTTCATATAACCTATAAGTTTTTTTTAGCTATCCTGACGAGCGAATAGAAATAAACTGAAAACAACGTATCATAAACCGTATACATAAGCTCTTTCAAACAATATCACAAGTATTTATGTCAGTAGATAAACTTAAATAAGTAAATCCAACAAGAAAAATGATGGTATTCAACCTTCTACTGATGTCGCAACGCCCGTAAAATTCTTTGCAACAAGATTATGTAGATCCTCACCGGCCCAGATTGGATATATGCCCACATTTACGCCGACAGATACAGCAGCACCAAGGGCAATGAGCAAAAATCTATTTATAGCCGTATGAATAAATTCCCCGGTTCGATATCCAGATACAGTAATGTAACAATAGGTAATCAAGAACACACGGAAACCATATTCATAAGCCTTCATTGTTGGGTATAGTTTCGCGTATGTGGCACAAAATCCTACAAATCACATAGCATACTGTCAGAAAAAGAAGGTATAATTAAATAAAAAAGAAGTTTAAAATGAAAGTGATTAGAAAAACCAGACCTACAATGAAGATGCTAATGATTATTACAATTTCTTCCCATTCTCCAGCTAAATTTGATAGCATTCCCAATGTTAAAGCAAGTCCTCCAGCTGATAAAGTCCCTATTCCTCTGTTTACCCCTTTGCTAAGAGTTGCTCCTGCATGAATAAATAGTTACAAATTGAGTTAATTTAGCATAACAAAGAAAATAAAATACATAACATAATATATTAAAATACGCAAAACAGAATAATAATAATAAAAATGAAGTACCATGAACTTAGTGCAATACTTCAAAAGACCTAAGTAATCCAAAAATATCGGCACGTGTAATTTAAAAAAACTAGATAATACTATTTGATTGCAGAAAAAAACAATGGTAGTGTAGAATAGAGTTATGTAAGTTATGTTAATGTGAAGTGTTACCTATGCTGAATTCAAAGACGACGACAACAGTGAGAATGGCCCAAACAGAATATCTACCGACATCTTGAAACGGTTGTTTAAGAAAAATCAACAGCGAAATCAAGATAAGAGCAAGCCCCATTTTCGCCGAGAATATTATCTTTCTCGGATCAGACACGCCCATTTCCCACGCTCTCACCGCCACGCGCTTCACTTCTTTCCAAAACTCCACGATCCCATCGGAGAATCTCCGAAACGAAAAGCACCGCCGTGGAAGAAATCCTCGTCGTCGGATTCTGGTAAAGGGATACCTATTTGAGAGTAACCACCACCGGCCACACCGCCCCCCTTTCATGGATACTAGCCTTTCTTTTCTCTCCAGGAAACTGTGGCGAAAGGAACCTAACTTGGGTACTCTTTGTGAAGATGACATCATGGTGAGTTCTGACGAGAAATCTGGGAAAGTGTTGTTTTGATTTTGGGCGGCGTAAGAATGAAGGGAGAATAGGAGTTTGAGTTGAAGATTGAAACTAAAAAGACGTTTATCTAGTTGCTTGGTCCCTCTTTTAGTCGTGCGTGCCCACTATTCTTGCTAATTGGGGTAATGAGGATGGTAGAGATTGTATACTTTTTTTAATCTCAACTAATTTGTTTTTAAATTATCAACGTCTCCATCTCTCTCTCTACTTTCTCATTTCATACATTTAAATTTGATTTTTTTAATCATATTTAAAATATTTTTTATTTTATTATATAAATTGAGGGTGTAAATTTTTTATACCAATCATAAATACTAATTAATATCAGTTATTGAAGGTATTTTATTATAACTTTTTAAAGATAATTAATATTATCAATTTTTCTTTTCCTATCTTTTAGTAGTTGTGGATATTTTCTTTCTAAATAGATCGAGGCAATCTTCAATATTTTGATAATTTATTGTGATTTGATGTAATGAGTCTTATGTGTGAATCGATATGATCAAAGCTTGTTTGCTTTAGCCTGTTTTTTCATGGTATCAAGATTTGAGATTTCGGCCCTACATTATAACAAAAAAAAAAATTGAGATCCAATTGATGACTCAATTATTGATGATGATAAAAAGATATGAATAAAGGTGGGTGGGTCTCAATAAAAAATCTAGAATTAATATTTAATTTGTTTTATTCAATTAGGGCGAGTATGAAAATATTGTTAGACGATACGTTATGATTTAGAGGGGGTGAATAGATTCATAATGGGTTTTTTTTATTTAAAAATTTATTTTAAAAACTGTTCAGTTATGACGTGCGGACATAATTCCTGATTGATAATCGTCTATCTCGAATTGTTATCGAAAAGATCAAATATGCGTTAAATCATATAAAACGTATTCGTTTGATGAGAAAATCAATCAATATATTTTAAACAACAACGTTTGAATAATATCACACAATAGTAATCGATTTTTAATGAAATAATAAACAAAAACGGATTTAAGCAATTTGTCGAATATTTGATGTGCAATCAATTCAAACTAGGGTTTTCTTTGATTTTGTTGATAAGAGAAATCAATTGCACTCTTATAGGACTGCAATCAACCTCAACAAAACAGTTTGAAATATTAGATAAAGAAATCATCTCATTATATCGACTGCACAATCAACGATTTCATAATTTACAAATAAAAGTAAGAGAGAAAGAGAGAGAGAGAGAGAGAGAGAGAGAGAGAGAGAGAGAGAGAGAGAGAGAGGAGAGAGAGAGAGAGAGAGGAGAGAGAGAGAGAGAGAGAGAGAGAGAGGAGAGAGAGAGAGAAAGAGAGAGCGAGAGAGGAGAGAGAGAGAGAGAGAGAGAGAGAGAGAGAGAGAGAGAGAGGAGAGAGGAGAGAGAGAGAGAGAGGAGAGAGAGAGAGAGAGAGAGAGAGAGAGAGAGAGAGAGAGAGGCACACGGATTCGCTATGGATACGTCTGTCCCAATTCCAATTAAATTGAGATAATGAAAATTAACCTTTGCAAATGTAGTTTACAAGAGAGAGAAAATAGCAATCCAACCCTCCAAACCCTATGTTTGATGCTGATCCTATCTTCTTCTCTTCCCTTGATCCTTGAGCTCGATTAAGTAACTCAATATTTCCAATTTGATCCTCCGGTTACCGCTACTCCTTTGACAGAACCCCAATTATTCAAAGCTTTCACTCGACTGAATCCAAATTGTGAACTATTGTGACCCAAGAAGATTACCAAATGATCCTCTGGTTACCGTTACTCCTTCGATAGAAACATCTTTCTTCAAAGCTTTCACTCGGCTGATTCTAAATTGCGAAATCTTGTGAAAAACTCGCAAATAAATCCTTGACCTTGGGATAAAACCCCAAATGGATTTATCTTGAAAACCCCAAACAATTTCCAACCCAATTGATTACAAACAATCCTAATTGGACCTTATCAAACTATCTCAAGATCACACAACAAAAATGATTATGTGTAGTTGTTATATGTATGCAATGAGAGAGGATGAAGATGATGAAAAATACTTTGTATATTTTTGGTTTCAATCACTTTGAAATGATGCATAAATTATGATCGTACCTGACCAGAAGGGACTGTCAAGGCCTTCGAGATTTTTGTCGAGCTACAGTTTGATGTGAAATGGGGGGGGTACCTGCAAGATACTCTGATGCTAAAGTAAGATTCAAGGAGAGTGCTATCAAGTATGAGAGTATGTGATTTAAAGAATCAATACCTGACCCTCTCAAGTGAGAGGGTATTTATAGCCCCCAATGCTGGGCCAAGATCCCCATTGTTGGCTGGGCAAGCAGGCCCAAAGTGGAGACTTCCAAGTCTTACGTGCGTAGTGGGGTTCATCATGTGGTCTCTAACCTGGATGGACTCCTCTGAACTATCAGGAGAATATGGATGCGGTCTTCTCGGGGCAAGGAGGACACTGTGATATTCAGAGGTGTTGAGAGTCATCCCTACGAGGAGGATACTCGTGAGATACTTCTGTTTGTCGCAGAGCCTCCCCGTGAGCTGTGAGGTTATCCCCGGAGGACATGTCCTGGTCGATAAGAAGAGTGGGGTATGCTTGCGAGGTCCTCTTGATCATCCTCGGCCATCCTCTCCATACATGGGGTTGTCCCTATAAGGAAAAGCCATGTCGACCAGAAGAGTGAGGTTACTTCCTGATCTAGTTGAGGGAAATCATCGTCAGTAGGCTATCCCACGTAGTGCAGTCGGATTGGGTCTTGTATGATGTTTGGGCTAAGTGTAGGCCCAGTCCAGAATAGGGGCCCCAAGTCGTTTCTCTTGATGAAGGAGTTATGACTTAGATCCAACTTCTCCTTATGGTGAGCATAATTCAATTAGGGGTCCTTCATTGCGTCAAATGAGGAGGTTATCGGTATGCGTGGTCACCCGAGCAGGGGTTGAAATTGGCTTCACGGGGAACATTTCTGTCGTTCCTCGACTCGCAGGGAGAAAAAAGTTTGCGGGAGGTAACCACGTGGCGTGGCTTTTGGGACAGAAATGATGGCCTAGGGAATAGGGGCCATTATGACCTGAACGCGTAGAGGTCAAGGAGAAGGGCAATTTATGTGTTGTGCAACACGACTCTTCGTATTCCACGCCAGCCCTACAAATAGCGCCTTAAGGCTCATTTGTCACATTCCAATTCCCGCTCTCTCCATTCTCTCTATCGCATTTGGTTTTATATCATTTTGTTATCTTTCTCAACCGCTAACGTCGCCGCAAGATCCGTTGTGGAGTTCCAACCTACTCCGATCAAGTAAGTGTTTTTTAATATTGATTGTTGTTTATGATTGGCTTTTTGATGACTTTTTGATGAATTTCGCTATCGGGGGGATTTTCACTCGGGGTGTTCATACATTTATTCGTAATATTTGCGAGTGGGCCCGTGAAATTCATCTGCTCCCCGGAAAATTCATGAATTTTTCCCGGGATACTCATCTGCTCCCTGCAAAATTCGTGAATTTACCCGAGGTATTCATCTCTCCTCGATGGATTCATGAATTTGTCCGGCAAATTCATATATTCCCCTCGACATTTATGGATATATTCATGAGATTTATCACATGCCCGCGTTACTCAAGAAAATTCATTTTGTATTTGTCACAACCGTGCGGTCGTACAAGGCATGTATTAGCTCATTGTATTACTCGTGAGTCGTGTATGTTTCTCACTGCACGAGTGATCATCGACCTGGTGCACAAATATCCCCTTTCACCTGTGTCGCGGTGGAAGGGTGGATTTGATTTAGCTGTCGAATTCACTGGTTTCCTCTGCTTTACAGGTGAAATGGAGGAAACCTCTGAGTCATCCAAGCACATAGACGTTGAAGAGACAAGCGCAACCGACGAAGGTGTCCATTTGGTCGACACGATCGATGACCCGTCACTGTCCTGGGTCTGGCAAGAACCTCGAGGTATAACTTCGATCTTCAGTTATACTAGAAGGGAAGTGTTGTACCCCAAAATTTTCCCTCTCAATTTCTCAAGAATTCTCTCACAAGATCTCCATTGATTCAAGACTGCACAAGGTTTGATCAGCTCAAGACACATCTTTAAGCACTGATGACTCAAAATTAGGGTTTGAGTTTGTATAAGTACAATTGGACTTTTAATGCTTCATATGACTTTAATGGATAATTTTGGACTCCCAAGATTGCTCATATCAAGTTTCAAGCTTTGGATCACATTTTTGCTTAGTCAACTGATCAGTTGACCTAAAATCAATTGTATTGGAGAAAAAGTCAATTGTGGTCAATTTATAGTCAAACTTCATAATTTTTTATCCATATCAATATTTTGAACTCATATATTCCAATTGATCAAGTTTGGATCACAATTCCTCAATAAATTTGATCAGATCATCAAAAGGGCAAAATGGTCAAAATTAGGGTTTTGACTAAGAAGGTTCAATTTTTGAGTTTTGACCTAACACATGACTTGTTGGTTTGAGACATGATATCAAGGAATCAAATGCATCATTTGGACCTAATGGAATGTCTTAAAACATTTCCCAAAGATCAATTGATTGATAGTTGAAATTCAGTCAACTGATGAAAAGTCAACTGATACACTGAAAAGTCAAACTTTGACTTTTTGATCAAAATCAAGTTTCAAAAATTATATTTCATCAAGACATGTCAAAATATTAATTTTGTTCATCAAGAAATCAAAAAGTCAAAATTCATTTTGAAAAGTCAAAATTTCCAAGACTTAGAAATATTTCTAAGTGTTAGAAAATTTACTTTTATTCATGAGTTTGTGCCAAAATTTCACCATGATGCAAGATGATTCAAGGAAAATTTCCAACATGAAAGTTGTAGATCAAAATGAGATCTAAAACATTATAGGACAGAACTTTTTCTATAAATACTTGGATTTTAAGTTATAAATTCATAAAGACATGTCCGTGAAACAAAAACACTTAGTGAAAT